TCAAAAAAAATTTGAGTTAACGTACGTAGCCCCTTGAGATGGATGATATGGTAATTTTTTCATAGTATATTGACTGAATTGCTGAATTCTTTGTAATATCATGATGCGTTAAAAATATCCGATGATTGCTTATGTAAAATAAAAATGATCGGCGAAATTCGTCAAAATTTTACCGAGGCGAGTGCCTCGGTTGGCCTCATACTAGCTACGGTGCTGACTAGAAAGCGCGAGTGTGAATTGATCAAACGTCCTTTTAATTTCTAAGGCTTTCTTTCCGGCAAATAAAATCAACTGAATGTAAAAAGGGAAAGAGAAATAGCGAAAAATTCAACTTCTAATTAAATCTTTTCTAATGGTTTAGAATAAACTTTTCTCGAAACTGAGAATGTTTTAATCAAAGCTGTGTGAATCGACCTGAAACTGTGCAGGGAACCTTGCGTTTCCGGTATTTATCTCACTTGTTGTATGGAATATGTATGAAAATCTTCCTTATGAATGCATTTTCAAAATCAACGATGGCGACCGCAGGATGCAATTTGAGCTCGCTAAAAAAACGGTACATGTTTGAGTGACCATATGAGCTGTATCATGAACTTTGACTCTATTTGACTTATTATCAATCTAGAATAGGTAGTCACACAAATTTTCTAATGAAATTAATTAGCTTCTTATCGAAAAGTGCCAAAACAGAACTTGAAAATAAAAATTGTCTCAGAACTGACTATTCAAAGACATCCCTTCAGAGAAGGGCTATCATGGTAAAGTGTGAAGCATAAATGCAGGTTACATGCTGCAGTCTTACTATCGTGTTTTCAAATAATGTTACATAAAAGACAGAGAAATAATTTCTTGCAAACTTTTATTCGAAAACCTGTATGTTTTACAAAATAACGTAGCCAACAATAATTTCTACTCATTCATCGTACTTATAGTGACTGAAGTGACAGCCTGTCAATAAACACTTGTAAATTTAAAGTAATGTAAAGGGCTTTTGCTACTAAGTGACAATATTAAAACTTTCTTTTCTTTTTCTTTACTAGGACATTTTATTTATTTTTATGTACTTAGTCCCAATTCACAACGAATCTTTCACAAGTTTCTTTTGATTCCATGGTCTTCCTAGTCTATGCTTTTTTTACAAATCTGCATTCATTTGCTTAAAACTCGTGGTAAAATCATTGCTTTGAGAAAAAATAGTTTAAATGGCTAAAGTATAATTTCTTACATGTCTCAGTCAAAAGTACTTCGCCTAACACTTTCTAGATTGTGGATCCGTTTACGCAAATAAAGAGCACATGGCAAATTAAACAATGAACCCGTCTCAAATCGGGCTACTTTTCTAGTAATGTTTCCTTAACAGAAAAGTCAAAATTTATTAAACTTCTGTGACAAATGTATAAATACACAAGGTCACACTTCAATCAGTAGAGCAGATTCTCCCTGTATACCATCTCGTATGATGGGGGCTTTTTCCTTTTCTTTACCATCACGTACTAAGCTGATAGGCATAAATCCAGGACAACTCCGGACGAGAAAATAATGACGGTTAGGATCCATTTCCTGCGGCTGAGAGCTGAAGCCTCTGAAAGCAATAAAAATTGAAAGTATCAAATAATCAACTTTTCAAAAGTGAGGAGTGCTTCTTAGTGTTGCGGAAACCATTGTTGATTCGCCTGTGGGTTGTTGTGTTGGTATTTTTTTGTGGAGTGTTTCTTGGTGTTGCGGAAACCATTGTTGGTTGGCCTGTCTGTTTTTATGTTGGTATTGTTTTGTGGAGTGTTTCTTGGTGTTGCAGAAACCATTGTTGGTTGGCCTGTGTGTTGTTATGTGGGTATTGGTTTGTGGAGTGTTTCTTGGTGTTGCGGAAACCATTGATGGTTGGCCTGTTTGTTGTTATGTGGGTATGGTTCAGTGTCTTCAGATTCTCCCTGTATACCATCTCGTATGATGAGGGCTCTTTCCTTCTCTTTACTATCACGTACAAAGCTGATAGGCATAAACCCAGGACAACTCCCGACGAGAAAATAATGACGGGTAGAATCCATTTCCTGTGGCTGGCCTCTGAAAGCAATAAAAATTAGAAATATCAAATAAATCACCTTTTCAAAAGTGGGGAGTGCTTCTCAGTGTTGCAAAAGCCATTGTTGTTTTGCTTATGTGTTGTTGTGTTGGTATTGTTTTGTGGAGTGTTTCTTGGTGTTGAGGAAACCATTGTTGTTTTGCCTGTGTGTTGTTGTGTGGGTATTGGTTTGTGTAGTGTTTCTTAGTGTTGCAGAAACCATTGTTGGTTCGCCTGTGTGATGTTGTGTGGGTATTGTTTTGTGGAGTGTTTCTTGGTGTTGCGGAAACCATTGTTGGTTCGCCTTTGTGTTTTTATGTTGGTATTGTTTTGTGGAGTGTTTCTTGGTGTTGCAGAAACCATTGTTGGTTCGCCTGTGTGTTGGTATGTTGGTATTGTTTTCTGGCGTGTTTCTTGGTGTTGCAGAAACCATTGTTGTTTCGCCTGTGTGTTGTTATGTTGGTATTGTTTTGTGGAGTGTTTCTTGGTGTTGCAGAAACCATTGTTGGTTCGCCTGTGTGTTGGTATGTTGGTATTGTTTTCTGGAGTGTTTCTTGATGTTGCAGAAACCATTGTTGTTTCGCCTGTGTGTTGTTGTGTGGGTATTGTTTTGTGAAGTGTTTCTTGGTGTTGCAGAAATCATTGTTGGTTCGCCTGTGTGTTGTTATGTTGCTATTGTTTTGTGGAGTGTTTCTTGGGGTTGCAGAAACCATTGTTGGTTCGCCTGTGTGTTGTTGTGTGGGTATTTGTTTGTGAAATGTTTCTTAGTGTTGCAGAAACCATTGTTGTTTCGCCTGTGTGTTGTTGTGTGGGTATTGTCTTGTGAAGTGTTTCTTGGTGTTGCAGAAACCATTGTTGTTTGGTCTGTGTGTTGTTGTGTGGGTATTTGTTTGTGAAGTGTTTCTTAGTGTTGCAGAAACCATTGTTGGTTCGCCTGTGTGTTGTTGTGTGGGTATTATTTTGTGAAGCGTTTTTTGGTGTTGCAGAAACCATTGTTGTTTGGCCTGTGTGTTGTTGTGTGGGTATTTGTTTGTGAAGTGTTTCTTAGTGTTGCAGAAACCATTGTTGGTTCGCCTGTGTGTTGTTGAGTGGGTATTGTTTTGTGAAGTGTTTCTTAGTGTTGCAGAAACCATTGTTGTTTGGCCTGTGTGATGTTGTGTGGGTATTGTTTTGTGGAGTGTTTCTTGGTGTTGTAGAAACCATTGTCGGTTGGCCTGTGTGTTGTTATGTTGGTATTGTTTTGTGGAGTGTTTCTTAGTGTTGCAGAAACCATTGTCGGTTGGCCTGTGTGTTGTTGTTTGGGTATTGTTTTGTGGAGTGTTTCTTGGTGTTGCGGAAACCATTGTTGGTTGGCCTGTGTGTTGTTATGTGGGTATTATTCAGAGTCTTTTTAACTTTTTGTATTACGTTATTTGATGATTACACAAAGTGTGGTAATTACTAGAAGAAAACTGGGCTGAGTGAGCTTTCGCAAAGATTTCTGGGATTGTTACGTGGGCCAGGGAAAAATATTGGCCTATGGCAGAAGCCCATAATCCGGAGTGAGAAACTCCCATACTAGGCCTATTTCACGCCGTTTTTACGGATCACTTTATTTTTAGACACATTTTTAGGGCACTTTATCCGGCGAAAATAGAATCTCCTTCAGGTCTATGAGCGCATTCGGAGTATAAGATATCAAAATGGAAAACTAAACGTTTTTAAAAACAAAGCAATAAAAGTAATCTTTAAATTAAATCGTAGAATTTCCCAGGATCTTTAGAGAAAAGCACCAGCCCAATTTCTGCTAGATGAAATCATTTTTTTTTGTTACAGGAATCACCGAAAGGAAATTTCTCCCCACGAGCCGTTTAAAAAGAAGTTCCCAGCTAGCCTTGCTGAACAGAGATCCGTTGCCGGTTGTCCATGTACTTAAACGTGTCGTTGCATAACATGAACAGTGAACTTATTTATTTTTGCAAAGCACAAGATGATGTTTTCAGTTATAATTATTTATGTAATCATTTATACCATATGGCGCGGAACACACAACAGAGAGACACTCCAATTCATGTTCATTGCCTTCTTACAGATAAACCGTCCGGCCCAGGAGAGGCTGGTCACACCACCGAGTACATCCCTTCTCTTTTCGAAGAGTGGTGCGGATACTTTTACATCTCACAAGAACCAGATAAGTGAAATTTCTGTGAGACGGGACCTACTATATGGTTTTTCGTCCTTATCCGAGAAGACTAGAAAGTCTAACCGTCTGCAGATGTCATTACAAAGGTAGCACTTTATTTTCAGTTAAACGCACTTTGAGTTCTCACATTCAGGCAACACTTTCTTCTCACTTTCTCACTCAGACCCTGAGTGTTGGTTCGGCCAGGGTTTAAACCCATGACCCCCCGCTCAGCAGACCAGCGCTCTCCCAAGCGGGATAATCAGGCGGCGGTATACTCTGTACAAGGTGTCTGTAACTTTAGAATGTGAATGTTTACTCATTTCACATCTCGTATTCGTTGTGACTGGCAAATTGAGGTAACCAGTGTCTGCGTTATAAAGAAGTGCTGTTTTTTACCTCCTATATCATGATCACTTGGTGGCGCTAGCGATGTTGTGTTCCCAGTAGTGGTCTCGGTAGTTGGTTCTGAAAAAAAAAAGTACAATTGTTAACCGCATTCAAGTGATCTATCAGTCAGCGACGAGTTTTTGACTTAATTGACTTTCTTATTGCACTTGTTACTGATCCATGTCTTCGTATACCGCTCGAGCTTGCGTTTAGAGAAGACCTTTTTTAGGTACATGATTGTTTAAAAGATCATTCAAAGTGTATAGTAAAATTTGGAGAAGTCAATAGAGAAATCTTGAGAAGGGAAACAATACCTGTTGAAAAAGGAAATACGTTCAACTGGATAAAAGACGTGGAATTGAGGTAACTGGGGTCGTCCTTGTCGCAGAATCACTGACATTTATACTTTCCCTCATCATCATCAGTAACATTATTAGCTATGGTGAGAATGAAATCTTTTTTGCATCTGCTGTTAGTTCTTCTTTCTTGTATATCATACTTTTCACCAGATGTCAATAGCGTTGATGATCTGTTGTTAAAAAACCACTGAAATTTCATTGAATATGCGGCGCAATTGTCAGGATCTATTTCAACCAAGCACTTTAAAGTGACGTTGTTGTAGGCTATCACTGAAACCTCGGAAGGAGAAATATGCCGATGTTTAGGACCGGGACCTGCATAATTGGAAGATACATGGCAGATATTATTATGAACAAATCAAATGCTATTTAAAGATCATTGCCGTGCGATTGTGTAACTTTAAAGGACTACAGCCTTAATCTTACTCTCCCCCCTTAAGTATTTGTGACAATAAATGAGGCAACACGACGCTCCAGGGGGTTACTCTTGATTTCAAGTGACAAAGATGATCGAAGGAATTTTTCGGGTTTGAAATTTTCTATCCTAGGTAGGAAAATTTGGCAAGTATTTTTTTGGGTGGTTTGATTTAAGTAGGGATTTTATTGGGTACTCAAAATGTTCTTAAGCTCCTGGTGTCTCGAGTGTTGTTAGAATGACCACCAAATGTGGATGGTATGATGAATAAACAAACACAAACGTTTGGGATATTTTTAAGTCTCAGAAATTCGGCATAGGATTTTTTGGGGTTAATTTTTTTGTAAGAATTTTTGGGGGTTTTGTTGGAAGCCCTAGGGATTTTTTTTGTCCCCCATTCAATCATCCCATTATATTATTTTTGAGAATTTTTTTTTTATTTTTGAGGTGAGAACACTTGCTTCCCACGAATGAGGCCTCTTCAGGCGAAGCCACACGTGGGTTTTTGATTTGTCGTTGGTTCTCTCCTTTGCTCCGAGAGATTTTTCTCCGTGTACTCCGGTTATCCCCTCTCCAAAAAATTGAAGCAACATTTCCAAACTCTAATTCGATCCAGAATGGCAGATGAACAGCCCAGCACTTAATTTGATTGATCAACCATTTATTTATTTATTTATTTATTTATTATTTATTTATGTCTTATTATCCAAAGGATAGGCTTTTATGCCAGTAATAATCATCAGTCGCCGCATAAAAAAAGATGAAAGTTATTAGACATTTTATTAGATATTTTTTTTTTTAAATGAATAAATAAATAAGCTAAGGATCCCTGGATCATTCTGAGTGGAAGAGGGCAGTGGCAAGAAATGTTTAGTTTACCTGTCTGAGGCAGCCGTGGCTTTACACAAACGACGAATTTTTTTCTCACCGTTTGAAGGGATGGGACATTCATAATGCCCAGTGAACTTAAAATTTAGCGAGACGGCAAGGCTCCTGAAAGTAGCTAATATCTAACATTGTTATATGCATGGCTAGAAATTTCTTTTTTTAAATCAGTGCGCGCTCTCATCGCTTACTTCAAGGTCACATGACATCGAACAATGAAACTGTTTCCCGCCAAAATCTCTGAGCGGGCAACATTGCAAAATTTATGACGTCAGAGGGTAACAGTGCACTGTTACCCGCGAATGTTGACCAACGACCGCCGTTACAGCGAGGTTTAATGAATTTCCAGCTATATAAAAAATCACGAATCTCAATGTTTAGAGGAGGAGGAAAATAAAAAATGAAAAGGAGAGGGGTAAGTAAAGCATTGGTTGCAGTGTAAAAAAAAACGTAGATTGCCTTTGCCCTCTTTAATATACACGATTTGCCCGCCAAAAATCAGTGAACCGGAACAAGGACAATCACAGCAGCGGAAAATAGGAAGTGCATAATTACGTTACGTCTCAGTGATTTAAAGTCACAGACAAGTTTGACTTTACTCCTTAGACACTATGAATTAACCAATGAAAACGTTTCTTATTTTCTAACTAACCAATCGAAAAGGAAGACGTCTATCGACATTAAAGTAACTAGAAAACCTAAACCAACTAAAAATAACACACGACCTTATCTTAATGAGATTCCTGCACATTTTATTCATGAGATCAAGACAATAGCCTATGACGTCATTTGCGTTAATATATTCCTGCCCAAGTTAATGAGATTCCTGCCCAAAAAAACGGAGTAACCGGTGCGCCCTATACTACTGATGCTAGGGAAACAAAATCGTTTGTTTCCCTCTGGACCAGCTAGTCATTAAGGGTTTATTATTCCCTCTGAATTGAATGTCTGCTGACTGCAAGGCAACCGAACAGCTGTATTCCTCCTGCTCATGTTAAGGCCTGATCGGAGAGAAAGAATGTCAACTTCATCCGTGAAAATTTCGTCTGACGGCATGTACGGGATTTACAAGGGTATTCCCAGACTATGGGATTTGACTGAAATACAGTGTGGAATTCGGGCAACGTTAACAGCATACGGTCTGCCCCCATACACTCATGTATGGGGGGGGAGGGGTCATTACTCATTTTATCGTTTCTTGTAAACTGCACCTTAAGCAGTCTGGCAAAGTGCCCCTAACCAGTGTTGTAAATTATCCCTGAAAAGCCCTGAGTAAGACATTTACAATTTACAATTTACGGGATTTGACTGCTTCTGGGGAAGCGGGATTCTCCAAAATTTGGGCACGGATGTAGGACTGGGAAAGAAAACGATATACGGGTATTTACAGGGTCTGGATGGGTATTCTCGGGATCCAGGACTCGCCTGAAATACACTGCGGGATTCGGGAAAACGCCAAATTTCTTTACGCGATACGGGAATTGACCGCTACTGTGGTGAAAGAGAGCGGGAATACGGGATCAGGATCCCCCGACCACTTCCAGACTCTTGGTATACAGTAATCCGGGCTCACTTCTAAACATACTTATAACTAATCAGACAACTTACACCTATAATCCAGCTCAATTATCTTTGATTTTTTACTCGACCAGCCGGTAATGCTGTTCGTTGCAATGCAATTATAATCCCCTTTGTGTTTTTCTTGGATATTAAGATTACGAAGAAGGGAACGTAAGGTATCCTCTCCATCGAGCTTCTCTGAGATGTAAAAACCTTCAGATCCGTTGATGATTTGTTTTTTATCTGGATTGTACCAAACTACACGAGGACGAGGCCATCCCTTGAAGACACACTCCAATTCCATTATTGTCTTGTTAGGAGAGTACTTAAAGGGAGAATTTGTCTTAAATACTTCCTGAACTGGAACTAAGAACAAATTTTTAGTCTTGTACTTCCTACGCTCATAAGTCATTCACTCAGTTACAATGTACAGTTTACATCTGAAAAGCGCAATAGGAAATACAAGGACCGCAAGGAACTTTGGGTAAAATGATCCGGACTTTTTAAAAGAAGCACGTGCTTGCTGTAAATATAGTATTGAGCAAAATGGGCTGCTGAGGAAGTATAACAAGAAGGAGAATCATACGTATCAACTGCGAAAAGTTTCGCGTTTCGCCAACGTAAAGATCTCAAACAGGAACTTGGTATATGATAACCAGTTTTCGTGCTCTTGTTTTCTGACAAAGGGAAATGCAAATATTACGTTTTTCTAAAAATCCCATAATTCTGTTGGGTCACAGTTTTGCCTACTTGCGCATTACTGACATAGGTCAACATTTTGAATTAGCTGCGTTCAAACCGTAACCTTCACCCTAATAGGGACCAACCTAGCCCTTAATTTACTTCTAAGCCATGTTGTTGTTTTTTTTAATTAGCAAATCGCTTTCGGTGCTAACCTTTTCAGCCAGACAAAACGTCAATCGCGAACGATTACTTTTCCCCGTAAAGATTGCTTTAGCTTAACTGAAATCTCCTTAAAAATGTTAAAAGGCCTTCATTGGATTCGGCATCTATAATTCATGTAAAAGAGATAAAAAAAACTGCCACGTGCTTTCAGCTTCATCATGAATTCAAAAAGCGGCAAAGGGAGAAAATACTCACTTGCATTATTGTATAGAAAAACATCCACTTGTAGACTCATTTCTATCCTTTGAATGGGTTTGTGATGGGCGCATTAGGATATTTTTTCCCCATCAATTTAATACAGACAGGGCAAAAGAAGAACATACTCACTGGCGTATTTTATAGAAAAACATTCACGTGGCTGATGACTTCTATTTTTTGAATCGATTTGTTGTAAGAACAGACCGGCGTCACTGGCATTGAGATGTTTTTCAAGATCGTGCCAAGTCATGTCTTGTACTTTTCCACCAGTCTCAATCGAGCAGTTGGAAGTCACTTTAGAGTCTTTCGGCGTTACTGTTATCGTCTGAAAAGGCGGTTTGCATTTCTGTGAGTAGAAGCAAGAAGCACATATTTCACAGCCTGGGCCTCTTGGCACATCTGTTGAGTAAGTAAAAGAAAGAAATAAAGAGACTGGAAGAAGACATTTCGAAAACATACTCGTGAAATCCAGTTTGATAAGCCGGCACCTTCCCACGGGAAGGGGGTGGGGGGCACTTCCTTTATTTGACTTACCTTATTACAGGAAATGAACGCTCCATGAAATTAAGGTATTGGAAATCAATGCGACTTAAATTAACGCGAATTTTAAAATGGAAAACTACTTTCGAATAAAGGAAATAAACGCGACAGAGAGGGTAACATTTCAAAGTACAGGAAATTAGCAAGACGTTTACAAAGAAGCAAAAATTGTTGAGGCAGCAAGAACAAAGAACAAATGATCAAGAGACGAAATCTTGAAATCTGGCTACTTCAAGGGTTCTTCACGGTTATACTGATACTGGCTGACCTCTATCCTCATAAAATACTTCTCTTTAAGGGACTCAAATGACAAAAGTGTATGGAGAATTTAGGGCTAAAATACACTCTTTTTTTAAGAATGTTGTTTTCCCGGCCCAGGCTGAATATTCTTATTTTTCCGCTGTCGATTTTAGGCTGAAAATATTCTTGAATTATTCTTAAATGACACTTCCACTAGAATGTATTGTTTCAATTAGTACCAGGAGGGTCTGGATGGGGGCTACAAATGTCAGTTGTCAGTTAAAATTTTGGCCATTTGTCAGTTGTCAGTTAAATTTTTGGCCCTTTGTCAGTTGTCAGTTAAATGATTATTAATAATTAAATATGAAACCTATTTGTTCATTTTCGATCCGAAATTTAGCTAAAAAGCAGTGTTCTTACCAGGATTTTCTACACTGGGGTCCACAGGACCCATAGAGAAGCTAAAAGGGGGTCACGAGGGAGAAAAGCGGGTCACAGTATATGAGTACATGCTTCAAGATGACGGAGCTTCGGAACGCATCATTTCACACATGAGCATTCGCAGAAGTCATCATTTTATGGAAGCCGGTGATTAGGTGTTTCGTAAAGTAGCTATCACCAATCAATGTTTACGTACGCTTTTTTATTTGGGCGTCGCCCAAATAGTGTAATTGAGATCGCTCGTTTTGATTCAAAGTTGCAATAGGCACGCAATACGTGCGAATATAAACAAGCCAAGCGACGCGAATATCTGCCACGCGAACGACTCGTACAAGGTAAAAAGCATGCCGGAAAGAAAGCTCCCATAGCGTCTTGTTTTTTGTTGTTGTTGTTGTTTTGTTTTCCCTCTCTGCGCCCTTCGGACCCCTTGGGCTAATTATAGTGCGGCATTTCCCGAACGCCTGCAATGCCGCGGTCTACTAAGAACTCTGTAAAAGGAATATATAACGTAAATTGAACATTAAAAGCGAAAACTGACGCAATAGTACCTTAATTTTTATCGGTTTTGCTATTGAAAGCATTTCAAGTGGCCCCTATTTCTCAAGTCTTGTGTTACTCTCGTCCACACAAACGATTTTGCTGGCCAGAGTCCAACATTTCCATCCATTAAGCCAATCAAAATTTATACCCTCAGAATATTGGGACGTAGATCATGTGAAAGACGAAGAAAGACCGAATCTGAATCATCTCGGTAAAAATTTACAATTGCTTTTACAACGCCTTCATTAGCAGCCAACGTTTATGCTGGCGCGTTCTCAGAGGAGTGTAAATTTGAGATCTTAGGCCATTTCCAACGGATGATCCATGACACGTGATAGTCTTTACGGTAGATCATTAAGAAAATTTGCCACTTAAGCGTCCTGCTGCCAAGAGTATCCATATAAGCGTACATTTGATCACATTGTCTGACAAAAAGAATGGAATAATACTATTAAAAGGCCTTAACAAAGGGTTTTGTAGAAAATAAAGGACAATCAAGTTCTTTGTCAGTTGACGGTAAAACCCAAGGCAAATGTCAGTTGTCAGTTAAAATTTTGGCCATTTTTCAGTTGTCAGTTAACCCCATCCACACCCTCTACCAGTGTTCTGTGTCTAGATCTCTTTTTCCGTTTAATTGTACTGTATTTACAGATTTTCAATACACAAAATTTAGTCCTTTTCAAAATCTCAGCCCATGCCCGAGGGTTTATTCTTAAAATGTTCGCAAAATCGAAAATTTCAGCCTCGATGTTCTTATTTATATATAGCTGATTAGATCCTTTTTTTAGGATTCGGTCCTTCTATTTTGTGACGTTGGTCCTTTCTTCCAAAATTGAATTATGCTTAGAAAGTTTCGGCGGCACACCTTTACCCAAACGTCCCCCCTGCCTCCCCCCAAGGGCATAAGTATTGTCTTCCTTTTATCTTTATTTCTCTTGGGACCACTGTAATAAAAAAAGTTTTGAAAAAAAATGGAGGGGAAGGGGGTAAGTGGGCAAACAAGGCTGTTATGGGAGATGTGCAAATGGCGACTAGATGAAAAATGTGTAATTCATCTAAACAATGTCTTTTGATAGCGAGGGTACTCTCTGAATCCGGGATTTGACCGAAATATTGTGCGGGATTCGGGAAAACGCAAACTCTCTTGACGGGATACGGGATTTGATCGCTACTCGGGAAGCGGGATTCGCCAAAATCTTTGCACGAGATGCGGCATTGGGAGAGAAAAACGGTATTCGAGATAGAGATGATTCTTTTCGGGATAAGGGATTGTCGTGAAAAAGTGAGCTTCCAGACCCTGGACAATTACAGAAGGAGTAAATCAAGGAAAATAATAAAACGAGTTCCAATCCCCCGCTTTTGCATCCCCCGCCCGCCTTCTCTCAAATCGCTTAACATTGGCGATATTTGTCAAAGGTCAATTTTCCTGATCGACATCAAATCTAATTATAAATGCCCAGTTCTTTTGCAAGGACAATTTCCGGTTTTGCCACTTCAACATAAATAGAAGAAACAAAAACTGTTCGATAACCTATGGTTGCACCTTGCCAACGAATAAGCAGTCAGAGAGGGCCAGACTTCACAGACAAATACGTAGAGGGTGTCCGCTCAATTGGGGGTCCGCATAATAGAGGTTTCACTGTATATAACTTTCACATACTATATCACGACCTAAAGCTCATTCTCTCTTCCAATACGATATACATTCAGCAACGCAATTCATCTTTTGCCACACGATAGGAGGCTGGAGGACTGAGTATTTTGGGGGGACACTTATAAAAGCTAGACGCAAGGTCTAGCACTCTTCATGAAGGAAAGACCGAGGAACGGGATTTTCGGTTTTGGCCGCGCGAGAATTGGAACGAGAGCCAAAAAATGAAAGAGGGGGTGATGGGAAGGGGGAGAGGAAGAAAGGTAGTTTTCTTACCTTTCTTCCTCACTTTCTCCCGCTCTTTTACTTGCGAGATTTTCACGCAGTCTTTGACTCTCGTACCTATCGTTTGTTCCTTGAAAACGCACGAAAATGCCTGCTACACAGGCTATTCAAAGATCCATGCCTTAGTTAGATAATTGGATTACTATTAGCGACTGAAGGGTATTCAAATTTCTGGGGTGAGATGGGAGCTAAGGTAAATATCCAAAGGAGGCGTTTATTTTCTTATTCAAAGTTCGGTCTCGATGTTTTATTTTGAGAGAAAACAAACTGTATCATAAAATAGCAAAAAGGAGAGCGTGGCTTGTCCGCCATGTAAAAGGAAAAAAAAAAGTGTGTGTAGAAACTTACACTTCGCTCTGATCAACCATGTTGTCTTGTACTGGGGGGGGGGGGGGGTTACTGCCATATATGGGCTGTATAGGTATGTGCCGCTGTGAAGGGTATGGTTTTCAAGCAGTTTCTCTGGGATAGGGTATATAAATCAGAGCGTTTGGGTCTAGAATAGGGTATCATTTTCCATTTAAACTGATCAATTGGCTGAAGATTTTAGTCTAGTCTAGGGAAACCGGGAATTGCCACTCAAGAATATAAAAAAATCAAATCGCTTTTGT